CATTTGCGATGAAAAATTGATCCAGCCTCTCGCAGTACTCATCCCAGGACTCCGCTCGTCCCGCTTCATACGGTCCGATGCTGCCGAACGACGCCATCTCATCCTCGTCGCCAATGAAGTGTATCTGTATTCGGCGACCACTGACACCATACCAATACACCACAGCCCGGCGGCCGCTGCGCTCCCGACCCGACTGACGACCCCAAGGTCAGGCCGCCGCCGCGACCCGGCGGTCGGCCGCCCCGCCCGGGTCAGCCTACCCGGCAGGCGTGGCGCTAGCGGAGGGCGGCGGGTAGCCGGATACCGCCGGATCCATGTCACACGCATTTGATTTACATCAAGTCACCACACTCCTCCCCCACAGGATTAGACTGCCCCGCCCGGAATCGCACTGGGCAACGCCTCTCCCGCGCTGAACGACGCGGCACCGGCGCAGAAGCGGTCGCAGCCTCCAACCGCGACGGCGGAGACGGCGACGACGTCGAGGGATGTCGTCCGACGTCCGCGCACTTCTCAGAGGGGAGGGCGCCGGTCTCTGACGCCTCCGCACCGCCCACAGTCGCGTCTCTGGATTCTCCGGCGACGGCGTGAGCGGCGCTGTCCAGAGCAGAGGAGTCCGGAGGCTCATCTGACACCATCGTCCGCCGGTACTCGTGGTTCGGCACCGACACGTACAGAAAATATAGATACATGTCATGTGTTAAGGTATAATACGGTCATGTACGAGTATATGCTAGAGTGAAAAGAAAGTTACGAGCACACCACGCATACATACAGGGTGTAACGAAATTATCCGGACATCTTTCTTCGCGCTGTAATTAAGAAGCAAGACATTCTGATATTTTCCCTTTTGAATTATTATATAGCCACCTTTCATAAGAGCGCAGGTACACATTTTTTGAGCATTCCAGCCACTGGATTTTCCAGCACAGTGGGTTTCATATAGATTAGCGCCTTACTAACCTGTGCCCGCAGTTGGGCGGCGCTGGTGGCGGGTGTCCCCTCATTCATCTCCTGATGGACAATAGTCCATAATATATCGATGGAATTGCATGGGAACTATTTCCAAGCCATAGCCCTTTAGCCCAGAAGAACAAAAAGGTCCTCTCGGCATCACTTCTCATTCTGCTAGGGACTTGAAGGTGGTGCGCCGCCCCGTATGAAGACTGCGCGGCTTGAATCAGGCATCGGTACACGTTCAGAAACCGAGCCATCCTGTACCGTCTGGTTGAGTGGCTCCAACCAATCGCTAGCCAGGATGTTGCGCCGGTAATACTCGTCACTGATAGTGGTTTTCTGTGTCGTCATGAACAGCTTGAATATTACACAGCAGCTGAACATGCTCCAGGTCTGGATTTTGGCCGGATGTTTGACGCCGGCGACGGCCGGCACATTCGAGCTGCTGGCAGCCCACACATGGCCGATTTGACGGTTCAACGGGTATCGCAGCTCGAACAGCTTCCCATCCGACCAGGTCACCTCATTCGTGTCTTCCTTCGACCAGTGGACACGCCCTGGCCTGAAGCCAAAGGTGGTGGACTGGTTGTTTTTCCGTCAATTTCATTGTCTTCTCCAGTTTGAAGGGCAGTAAAACCAAGCTAAAGGGCGGGTAACGGTGAGTCATGATGTGGGACCTCTTATTATCTGCCTTGGTAAGAATTCGAGTCAGTATGCGGATTAATTGGTGCCGTTTCCTTGTCGCTATCTTGACAACTCTCCTCACCACTTGGCAAAGGGCGCCTTTTGCGATCGAGGCCAGGCTGAGTCTGCCACCAAGTCCCAGCTTATTACGCCTCAGGCAGATGTGCTACTGGCTGCTGCTGATGTCCAGCTGCTGACAGACCAGCTTCTGGCTCATGCCACCATGCCACCAACACGTAGCCTTACTACGAAACGAGAGACTGTACTCCTTTCTCTCCACTGCCTTAAACGAAAACTATCAAATGAACCCGTCGGCGACTCGACTCTGACTCAGAGCAAGAGTCATTTCGCAAAGTCAGGTCACTGCTGAGTTGAGAGCAGATACCAGAGGTATGCATTCATCCAATTTTCCAGCTTCTGACATTAAAAGAGAAACTGTGCGAGCAGATATGGCGAAAAAATAGATGTCCGGATAATTTCGTTACACCCTGTAAAGCAAGTAACGGTGATTCTGGCGCATTTATGCTAGTACACACAGAGAAAAATTTACCCCTCTACGGGTAATTTTACACTTATGGGTACCGGTATCCCGATTTCTCCGGATATTAAAACTCGGACAGAAATAAATATACACCATTTATTTTGGGTCCCTGTACACCTATGGTTCTTTTTACACACATTGTAGCAAATGTACCTGATATGGGTTTACAGTACCATGCAGATTCGGGTACCATTACTCAGAAGAGAGGGTACATATACCTAACAAACCAGAATCGGTGGTGTAGGGCTACTCTACCAGCATGTTTTTCTACTACTTGTTATTGAAAAACAGGTACCTGTAACATGCATCAACTCGTAAGGGTGTATAAGTACTTAAATGTGGTTTTCTGATTCCTTATTTTTTACAGGTAGATTTACCTTTTGTGAGTAATTTTAACAGGGGGCGTGGCCTAGGTCGCGCATGCGCAGAAGGGCGTTCCTCTCCACCAATCATCGTTCCGCGTTTTGTGTTTGGCGCGCACGCTTTCAGTATGAGCCAGTTTGAACCGCCGTTGCCGGCGTGGTGGGTGTGTGTAGAGGCTGGGAGCCGCACGGCGAGTGCTGTTCGCGTTTCACGCGGTTTATTGTGGAAGTGAGACTTTCTTTCCCGGGCGAGTGTGGTGGTGGATCGTGTTGTGCAAGGGCACCAGCGTCAGGACAACCTGAACCGGCCGACAAATATGGGGATCGACGACCGAACAAGCTAACTGCCAGGGCCGTCGGATATCGCGCATTGCGCCATAAAAGTGGAGTGTCGTACACGGTGTTACAGGTACGAATGGGAGTATAGACCTTGCATTACGGGACGGGGCAATGCTCACCGGTCGGTTGACCGCCAGCTGACGACAGCCGTAGGCGGGAAGGGACTGCGTCCACATCGTGCGAAAAATCTGATTATTTGTTTGTCATGACATGTTTCCTAATTAAATCGATGATCTTCATCCGGTTCTGTCCATCTCGTTGGAACCCAATAAACAAGCGAACTCCGTTTTACATATCATTGTTTTGTTCTATTTATAGCAAACTGCGACAAGTGTAGCACAAATAAAGCATGTGTTAAAGTACCTTATAACTTTGGGATAAGTTTAAGGCTTTAAAGGTAACAATACCAAAGAATCACTGGTACGTATACGTGTGAGCAGGTTATGTGACACAAACAAATTCGGTACGTATGCGTGTGAGAAGGTCATGTGACACAAATAAATTCGGTATTTTGACGCAAAAGGGTTGAGCTACCTGTTTTCTCGGCGTAGGATAACCCGTAAATGTAGTACCGATTTGGTACTCCAAAAATACCCGGATTTTGTGGCTAGTAATACCCTAGAACCACTGGTATTTGTACGTAATAATAGTTCATGTGAAACAATGAAGGGTATTGATACTCGTTTTCTGGAGGTAGGATAACCCGTAAAACTAGTACCGATTTGGTACTCGTGAAAAACCCGGATTTTTTAGGTAAAGATAGCTAAGAATAGCTGGTATGTATACAATAAAGTAGGTCATGTGATACAATCAGTTTAGGTAGTCTAACACTGACTGAGTAGATATAAACGTTTTCTCGGCGTTAAAGGACCCGTAAATATAGTACCGATTTGGTACTCGTGAAATACCCATATTTTTAGGGTAAATATTTCTCTGAGTGTAGTTACGGAGCGAGCGAAGCGAGCGTAGTCTTTCCTTAGATTAACGGAAATTTCTTAGTATGAGCGGCCGGCCGGCCGGCCGTGGTCACGATTCTGCGACGCTTATATCTCAGCAACCACTTGACCGATTTACACGCGGTAATTTTTGTAGGGTAGCTTCATTCCTTGTATGTATGTATGTATGTATGCATTGACACCAAAAGCCTTCCACATATGGCGCGGCGAGTACGGCTTACGGCTTGTATGTACCAACTACCAAGTATTGGACTTCTACCAAGTAGTTATTGGACTATTCCTGATGCATGTGGGTGACCCCTTATGCACGTGCCACGTGCAAAAAGAAGAGGTGTCCGTTTTGTAATTGTTGCAATATCTCGGTAACTACTTGGCCGATTGCGCTGAAAGTTGGCATGTAGGTAGGCACCCACTTGGCACTGCATATCCATGTGCCACAGTTGGGGTGCTGCTGCGCGTGCGCACGTGCAGGGGTCGTTTCCAGATCTCGAGAACGGCTCGACCGATTGCGCTCAAATTCGGTACACAGTTAGGGACCGGTTAGTAGGGTGCCGTGCATAAGTCAGTTGGGACCCATTTTGCACGTGCGCACGTGCAGGGTGCCGCTCCCAGATCTCGAGAACGGCTGGGCCGATTGTGCCCAAATTTGGCACGTCGCTAGAGACCGGTTAGTAGGGTGCCGACTGCCGTGCACAAGTCAGTTGGAGGTACGGGGACCCGCAGTTGCTACTGTACAGCGACCCTAAGTAAATTGTCCTAGCACCCTCACAGGGAACAACGATAAGCTGTCAAAGGGCACGCACAGAAAACCTCAGCTACTTTGTACAGGGACCGGCAGTCGATATCAATGTTATCGGTTGTTACTGGACAGGACAGACGGCTAGAGTTGGGGTTCGTGTACAGAAGCAACTGCGGGTCCCCGTACCCCCTCGCAATTTCGCACGTGCAAGGCCCACCCTCTCGCTCGTTCCGTTAGTCGCCCCAAAAGGCGTTATACTGGTGTTATCTTTCATTAAGTCTTGGCATACAGTGACTTAAGTATAGAAGTTCATTAAAGTGAAATTTACATAAGACATATTATAGCATACAGAATTGAGCACTATGCTCCCACATGGCACCAATGTCTTCAATGGACTGTCTGTCCGTGCTGCCGCTGCTCACCGAGTATGACCAGATCGGTAACTTGGTAATCGGGTTGTCGGCTCGACAGAACGCTCAGCTGGTCCAGGAGTTTGTCGGTTGCTAGCTGTACACCGACACTCAGTCTACTACCATTGTAATAATCATAGTAGCTCACTGGTGACCGAGTCATTCCCGACCCTGTGGAGAGAAACATGAACACAGATGAGTCAGTACATACATCCAACAGGAACAGAGTGAGTGTCCAACGCAGCAGCAATCAGTATCCAATACGGTAACAGAGTCGGCATCCAACACTGGTATAAAGTCCGTATCCAACACAGGAGCAGGCAGTACCCAACATGTTCTTACATAATTACTGTTTGGCTTCATAAATAATGTCAGTTGTTTTTTACTACACATTACAGCATATGCAGTCTGAGCTGTTATCTATAGGTCCTAATAGCAAACAGTAAAATGTTCTAACAGTTCGGGGATTTAAAGCATGGAGACCTGGAACAGGGACATCTTAACCCTATTCCTGGCGGGCTCCGCCGGGACAAGAAACTGGCGGGGGGGGGCCGATTCGGCCCCCCCCCTGAGATCTCGAGAACGAAGCAAGATAGCGACAAGCGGTAAACGGCATCGGATACGCACGGCCAAGATCTACAATTTTTACAAAGGTCATTTTCAGGTCAGGTCAAAGATGACGTCACAGGGGTCGAAAAAGTCAAAATGGCGGCACTAGATATGGAGAGAGTTTTTCTCGAATACCTTTCGAATTAGTCAAGATAGGAACAAACTAAGGGCACCATCGTGATCCTCTCGTCAATCCGCATCGAATGATATATATGTTGACCTCGAAAGGTCAAGGTCAAAGGTTGACCTCAGGTCACGTGACCTCGAGGTCATCATGTATATCATTCGATGCGTCTTGACGAGCTGAACACAATGAGACCATCCACGCGTCTGTATCTTGTTCCTGTACGGAGTTATTGGCCAAAAACCTTTGGTGACCTTTGATGACGTCACATGACCTCACAGCTGCCCAACAGCAAAACAGACCTCAAGGTAGTGAAGGTTGATCGTATATGAAGTCATGTATGGTATATGGGGCCATTCCGACCCGTTTTAGTGGTAAAAACAGGGAGTTGATTTTTCCCCCATTGACTTATAATGGGGAGGTCGCGAAATTGACCTGACCTTAGGTCACCGATATCAAAATTCCGAGATATACAAATTGCACATACTGGTACCCTAACTAAACCCTGAAGAGAAGAAATTGATCGGTCAAAAACTCTAGCTCTGGCGTGATTGCAAACTTTTCTGAGGTAGCGTCACCAAACCGCCTCTGGTGACCTGACCTGAGGTCAGATCAACTCAAAATTTTCAGACATGTTGCGTAGAAGCCTTTTAGGAAAAGTCAGAAAATTTGAGCTTCCTAGCTCAACGCGTTTGGGAGATATAACCAAAAAACCTCAGGGGGGGCTCCTGAGGCCCCCCCCCCCCGCCAGGAATAGGGTTAAGACTTATAGAACCCAACCAGCAAATAAATAATCAGTATAAAAACTTAGGAAGACTGTAAATGGCTCAGTGCAGCGGCCCGCATGGTCGCGGCTTTGTTCCAGCACGATGTAATCTAGTACCGTACGGTACTCTTACCAGTGATGTCCAGTCTCTTCAGCGACTTGGGTAGCAGCCACAGCCACTTGCCGGTGCTGTCCACGGGTGGGCTCAGATTTAGTGTCTTCAGAGCTTCCAGCGGCTCCAGCAGCGCCTCCAGCTGGCAGTCACCGATGCCGGCTGGAAGTGTCAGCTCACGCAGACTGGAGGCGTTGGCACGCGCCAGATGGCGCAGGGCAGAGACTCTCAGCTTGAAGCCGCGCAGGTCGGCTGTCTCCAGGGCGTGGCAACTGTCCGCTGGAATACAGCATCACCGTCAGTGAGCTAGCGATCAAACGGACAGGTCATAGGATACATGGAATACAACAACACTGTGTGTAAAGTAATAATCACATGGACATTGGACAGGTCACGTGATAATTAGTCATCAGATCATGTAAAGTGTGTTCCATTACAGGACTCACCGACCAGTCGGATGTCGGTGTTCGTCTCAGCGATCGGCGCCTTCAGCGAGGTCATATCCGGCTGGTCCTTTACCCTTACCACCAGCTGCAGACTTGTCATTGTTGGAGCGTTAAACCCCCGAGCTGACCGGTCGGCGAGCTTTTGCCGACAGTCGTCGAGGATGCCGTCGACGGCGGACCGCCAGCTCCGACAGACTGTCGGCACCGACGGAAAATAAATGAGAAAAGGTGACACCGTGACAGGTCACCGTCCAACATCAGTGTTGGTCGGTGGTCACTTTATAAAGAGTTTTTATCTCTAGACCAGAGCATATAGCCTGATGGGACTTGTCCAGCCGTCGGATCCAAGAGTATACATCAGCGTGACTACATTTCAATTGGCTGAGGAAGAAGAGACACGTCAGTTGGTATCGTCTTGTAAAACACGAGCTCGGCGGTCGCCGTGTCGGGTCGGGAGGCTTACCCCGTCTGGCGCGGAGCATCTCCCTGCAGTCCATCTTACTCAGCACCACCTTCAGCGCGTCCAGATTAATGTTTATTTCACTGAAATCGCTTTTGTTCAGGTCCCCGCCCGCCGGCGCCGCCTGGGTCATGACGTCATCAGACTTGATGACGTCACACTTGCTGGGAGCGTCGTCCGGCGGAGTGGTGACGTCCTCACCGTCACTGGGGGATGAGATGACGTCAATATGACGTCAGATGATGGCTTCTGACGAAACCCTACATCCCTCCCACCCATAGGTATGTAGGTACATACGGCTCTCGCGAGCTTAACCCTATTCCTGGCGGGCTCCGCCGGGACAAGAAACTGGCGGGGGGGGCCGATTCGGCCCCCCCCCTGAGATCTCGAGAACGAAGCAAGATAGCGACAAGCGGTAAACGGCATCGGATACGCACGGCCAAGATCTACAATTTTTACTAAGGTCATTTTCAGGTCAGGTCAAAGATGACGTCACAGGGGTCGAAAAAGTCAAAATGGCGGCACTAGATTTGGAGAGAGTTTTTCTCGAATAACTTTCGAATTAGTCAAGATAGGAACAAACTAAGGGCATCATCGTGATCCTCTCGTCAATCCACATCGAATGATATATATGTTGACCTCGAAAGGTCAAGGTCAAAGGTTGACCTCAGGTCACGTGACCTCGAGGTCATCATGTATATCATTCGATGCGTCTTGACGAGCTGAACACAATGAGACCATCCACGCGTCTGTATCTTGTTCCTGTACGGAGTTATTGGCCAAAAACCTTTGGTGACCTTTGATGACGTCACATGACCTCACAGCTGCCCAACAGCAAAACAGACCTCAAGGTAGTGAAGGTTGATCGTATATGAAGTCATGTATGTTATATGGGGCCATTCCGACCCGTTTTAGTGGTAAAAACAGGGAGTTGATTTTTCCCCCATTGACTTATAATGGGGAGGTCGCGAAATTTACCTGACCTTAGGTCACCGATATCAAAATTCCGAGATATACAAATTGCACATACTGGTACCCTAACTAAACCCTGAAGAGAAGAAATTGATCGGTCAAAAACTCTAGCTCTGGCGTGATTGCAAACTTTTCTGAGGTAGCGTCACCAAACCGCCTCTGGTGACCTGACCTGAGGTCAGATCAACTCAAAATTTTCAGACATGTTGCGTAGAAGCCTTTTAGGAAAATTCATAAAATTTGAGCTTCCTAGCTCAACGCGTTTGGGAGATATAACCAAAAAACCTCAGGGGGGGCTCCTGAGGCCCCCCCGCCAGGAATAGGGTTAAGCGGTAGGTATTGCACTTTTACATTTCCGGTTATATCTCAGAAACTAATCGATCTACAATGAAGCCATTTTACACGCTCATAGCCGGCTTGTGAACCAACAAGTCGATGGCATCTTCAACACTTAAAAGCTTAACCCTATTCCTGGCGGGGGGGCCTCAGGAGCCCCCCCCCCCCCCTGAGGTTTTTTGGTTATTTCTCCCAAACGCGTTGAGCTAGGAAGCTCAAATTTTCGGACTTTTCCTAAAAGGCTTCTACGCAACATGTCTGATAATTTTGAGTTGATCTGACCTCAGGTCAGGTCACCAGAGGCGGTTTGGTGACCCTACCTCAGAAAAGTTTGCAATCACGCCAGAGCTAGAGTTTTTGACCGATCAATTTCTTCTCTTCAGGCTTTAGTAAGGGTACCAGTATGTGCAATTTGTATATCTCGGAATTTTGATATCGGTGACCTAAGGTCAGGTCAGTTTCGCGACCTCCCCATTATAAGTCAATGGGGGAAAATCAACTCCCTGTTTTTACCACTAAAACGGGTCGGAATGGCCCCATATACCATACATGACTTCATATACGATAAACCCTCACTACCCTGAGGTCTGTTTTGCTGTTGGGCAGCTGTGAGGTCATGTGACGTCATCAAAGGTCACCAAAGGTTTTTGGCCAATAACTCCGTACAGGAACAAGATACAGACGCGTGGATGGTCTCATTGTGTTCAGCTCGTCAAGACGCATCGAATGATATACATGATGACCTCGAGGTCACGTGATCTGAGGTCAACCTTTGACCTTGACCTTTCGAGGTCAACATATATATTTTTCGATGCGGATTGACGAGAGGATCACGATGATGCCCTTAGTTTGTTCCTATCTTGACTAATTCGAAAGTTATTCGAGAAAAACTCTCTCCATATCTAGCGCCGCCATTTTGACTTTTTCGACCCCTGTGACGTCATCTTTGACCTGACCTGAAAATGACCTTTGTAAAAATTGTAGATCTTGACCGTGTGTATCCGATGCCGTTTACCGTTTGTCGCTGCGATGTGTAGTTTTTGAGATCTGAAGGGGGGCCGAATCGGCGCCCCCCGCCAGTTTCTTGTCCCGGCGGAGCCCGCCAGGAATAGGGTTAAGACGACGAAGATATGGCCTGAAGTATACTAAATTTTATAGGTGCAAAACCTACCGCTAAAACCCGCGAGACCTGTACATCCATATAGGCCAGCCCTACAAATCTCCAGAGTCAGAAACTACTTCTTTCAGTCAGGTCCCATGACCGCCAATGCCAGCCACTATGATAAACTGCTTCACGCAGTGTGACCCCTTCTGCCTCTCATGAGTCTCACCGCCTCCCACTCTCACTCCAGCTGCATTTACCCCCCCCCCCCCCTGCAGTCTCTGGGGGGGAATCTCTCACCCCTTGCTATTTCTCACCCGTACTATTTCTTACCCATCCGGACGGATGCATGTCTCCTCTTGTTGAAGTTCGCATGTCTCGTCTTGCTGAACGCTGCATGTCTTCTCTTGCTGAACGCTGCTTGTCTTCTCTTCCTGAAGGCTGCTTGTCTCTTCTTGCTGCAGGCTGTTTGCTGCTCCTTGTTGAAGGCTGCAAGTAGCCTTTAGCAGACGGTCGCATTTCTCCTCGAGCCGAGAGAAGTTCTGCTGCAGTCCACCGATGGCCTTCCAAATGTCTTCCTCTATGGTTTGTCGGGCAGAGCGCTCTTCAATCAGCGCCTGCTCCAGTCGGTACACCTTCCCTTGAAGTTGTTGTATCTCCATCTCTGAAACAGGTGGACAATGATCTGATGATCTGCTGCTCATGATCAGATAGGATCTGGCCAAGTTAGCCAGGTTTAAACCACGTCCGTATTGGCGTTTCGCCAGCCACTAACGTACACTGTAAACCAAATTGACAAGTCTTGTGTAATATAACCAATCATCTCTTGGTATGTTTACCAACTGATACTTTTTAAACAAGCCGTTGTCTGGTGCATTGCTTGTCAGGTGACAACTACGAGTCAATAGTTACTATGCACACCAACTTCTCAGTATCCAGACCAACTCTACATTTGTTTCAACGTTTGTTTCTTAACCAGTTTTGGAAACTTGTTGCCGCATGGTTATTTAACCGGCGCCTAGCTTGTACTAGTCAGCTGGTCAGCATACACATGGTCAGCTGCGCCTATGACGTCAGACTTGGCGGACCAATCAGCGGTCGCCGCCAGCCGTTAGCGGGCCCCGGCGCGGCGGTTTCGAACCAGCAGTTGTCGCGCGGCCGCCGTGCAGCCTGGAGCAGCGACGAGGGCTGTTCCAGCATTTGTGCAGTAAAAAGTGAAATCTGTGAACTGTGGTGTTCGTGCTGTGAGTGAGGCCCCCTCTGGCCTGCGGGACGCACTAATCGTGCCTATACCCGCGTTCGAGACGCCTCCCTTCCCCTGCGCGAGTAATGTAAGTGGGCCAGACCTGTGCATGTACATGTGAGCAGATGTTTTGCGGTCGGTGTTTTTTATATACGAATATAAATACATTTTTTTGCCTTTAATTCAACTCTTTGTGCTTTTAACTTAACTGATGGACATATATGAACTGTAAAAGCTAATCTGGTTGGCGATCATGATTTATTCGAATTATCTGCGTGATCGTGCAACTGCCATGATTGTTATGGTCAGTGTTCAGGAAATATTCGTCATACGGGCATGTTATACTTCTGGCTTGATGCGGTGCACAAAACCATGTTCTTCCACATACGCAGCAGTTCTTGCTTCAAAGACTTATATGCTGACGGTGCACGATAGGTATACCCACTGGGTATACCTACCTCATGCATTTACCACATCCATTCGAAAATATGCACTCGGAATTGTCTCCAGTCAATAGTATTAATTACGTGACCGTAATAAATAGTAATGATCCCAGAAACTTCCGAATGGATGTGGTGTATGCATTCATTGATTATATAACCCATCAGTATTTCGTTTCTTGTCAGCGCAAGCCTTTGAGCAATAACTGATGCCAGTCCTGGTATTGTGCACCACTTCCAGGCAAAAAATAACCTGTTCGTATAGAAAATATTTCCTGAATCAGTATCGTCGCAATTGAAAACGAACGCGAATCGTAAGTTCTTAAGGTTATCAACGCAAACAAAGCGATTGTTGACAAGCTCGAACAGAGCGTTAGTACACTTACTTGTTGACAATTTGTAAGCTAGCAATGCCCAGTCAAAGGCTAGTTCATCAACAAACCAGGGGTTGGTGAACCGACAAGGAAACGAATATGCCTATCCAGAAGTTGGTAGGTTCACAAGGCCCAGACTAGTACTCAACAAGGTGACGCCTATGCGAATTGGAACCAAACTTGTAGACAAACTGTTAGTTTGTTGGCCAACAAGCCTGGGGTTGGTGAATCGACAAGGTATCGACAAGGTGACGCCTATGCGAATTGGAACCAAACTTGTAGACAAACTGTTAGTTTGTTGGCCAACAAGCCTGGGGTTGGTGAATCGACAAGGTATCGACAAGGTGACGCCTATGCGAATTGGAACCAAACTTGTAACAAGGAGCCAACTTGTAGATTTGGTTTACAGTGCTGATCAAGCTAGAGCTTCACAAAAAAACGAACTTGCTGTCCGTGAAGAGAGAAAGCCGATGTTAAGATCCTAGGTCATCGGTTGACCTTTAAAGTCAGGTCAATGACCCAATGGTCGTAAAAATCAACTTGTGATATAGGTACTACGTCTTTGGTTGACCTTTCAGGTCGGGTTTGATGACCCGACAGTCGTGAAAATCGAGGCATGCTAGATAATTATGGTGAGGTCTTACGAGTTTTCAGGGCCCTGACTTTGAGTTTCATACAAGATTTCATCAGCGAAGATGTTCTTATGCGTTTCGGGTGGGTTAGGTCAGGTCAGGTCAGGTCAGGTCAGGTCAACTAGTAAGCGTCCCAACGGCTATTCATGGTAGGTATATACCTACATATGGTAGGTGTCAGCCAGCACTAACAGCTTCGTTACATGTTTTGTAGGCCGACCAAAACAACTTCATAATGATTGAATGAATACATGAATTCAAAATCAGCTCCAAAAACTAGCCCTCACCCGTATTGGTGTTTTTCCAGCCGCGAACGTACAGCCCACCGCTAGGCGCTAAAGTAATGTGTGGTTTTGCCAATCTCAACGGATGGTTTTGACTGACGATTTTTAACTGTGGAGTGATCGAAAAGAAAACTTCAAAAGATAAACTTGTAGCTGCAAGGGTGACGATTCATGTAAGCTACATCTATAGTTCCATTGTAGTCTGGGTAATCGTTCCTAAGCATCAGAAGCAGAACACACCCATGACTGAAACCGCACATTACTTCTGCTGTGGACTGTACCTATATAAGGGGGGGGGGCTCAAACGGACCCCCTTGCTGTTTCGCCCCTGATCGAGCTAGAGCTTCGCGGAAAAAACGAGCGTGTTGCCCGTGACGAGAGGAAGCCGATGATACCCAATTTTAACCCGCGCCGGGCCGGTGCTCTGAGATTCCGCGCCGGGCCGCGGGGGGGTGTTTGAACACCCCCCCTTCTAACTCGGCTCCTGGGCCACGTAGCGACACGCGGTAAGCGGCAATCGAAAGAACGTCAAAAATAAGGACGAAAACACTTCGGTTATTTTTTGGGTCAGGTCAAAGGTCAGGTCACCAGAGGTCACCAAAGGTAAAATGTTGACTATTTCAACATTTTGTAAACTGCCAACGACTATCTCGGCAACCGATAGAGCTACAGCGCCGCAAAAAAGCGCATTCGATAGCCCTTTTACAGACCTTTCTGAGTAATGTTCTCAGATTTGACCTCAGGTCAACGGTTTAGCCTCCAGAGGGCAAAAACTCCAAAAATAGCCGTTTTTACGAAAAACGTTTTTTCGACAATAACTTTTGACTCAAAAGAGCTATAACATTACTTTTGCCAGCATCGTGTTCCTCTCGTCGAGACGCGTCAAATGAACTATAATTTGACCTTGAAAGGTCAACTTGAAAATTTGACCTCAGGTCAAGGTCATGACCTGACCGGAAAAGGTCATGTTGCATATCAGTCGATCCGCAACGTCGAGCCGAACACATCTAAGGCGTTTTCAGCGCTCTAGCACGCCTCTATCAGAAGTTATCATCGAAAAACTGTTAGATTCTGTTCGTGACCTGAGATGACCTCGGGGACATAACGAGGGGTCACAGTTGCCATTTTCTGGTTCAGTGTGTCTATTTTACCTACATCTCGATGTTTGAGAGTGTCTAGAATAGCGTTTGTGCAAAACAGACGCTTTTCAATTTCCTCCCATTGACTTATAATGGAGAGGCCGCAGAATTGACCTGACCTTAGGTCACCGATATCAAAATTCCGAGATATACATTTTATAGATAGTGTTGCTCTAATCAATCGCTGAAAGTTGCAAGGCAATCGTTCAGTCGGTGTAGCTATGACGAGCATTCTTATTTTTTCTGAGGTGAGGTCACTTGGCGTGACCTGGTGACCTGACCTAAGGTGACATGGGTCTGAAATTTTCACAACATGTGCGGAAAAGATGCACGAACAGGTGTGCCAAAAACGGCGGCGCTCCGCGCCGCCGTTTTTGAGATATCTGCGAAAAACCTCAAGGGGGGGTGTTCAAACACCCCCCCCCCCGGCCCGGCGCGGGTTAAGGTCCTAGATCATCGGGTGACCTTCCAGGTCAGGTCAATGACCCAAAAGTCGGGAAAATCGGGACCTGTTAGAAAGTCGTAAAGCGTGGCTACTACGGGGTTTTGGGGGATGCTGGTCACGAATACCATGTTAGTTTTGATCACAGATGATGTCTTCATGCATTTAGGCCAGGTCGGGTCAGGTCAGGTCAGGTCAACCAGTAAGGGTATTCGTAGTAGGTGGCAACCGCCTCTGACAGCTTCGTAACTTGTTCGTAACATGTTACGAAGGTACCAAAACTACTTCGTAAATGTTCATATGGTTGCTAAATTCGAATTCAGCTCAAAAAACTGGTCTAGAAACATGTTAAACTCGAAAAAGTGAACCGAGGTCATCAAAGGTCAATGACCTGACCTGACCTTCCGGTGACCTTGACACAGTGGCGCAGCCAGGGGGGGTCAGAGGGTCAGCTGACCCCCCCGAAATTTCTGTCAGGGGCCCGCTCGAGAGAGAGTGAGAGAGAGAGAGAGAGAGAGAGAGAGAGAGAGAGAGAGAGAGAGAGAGAGAGAGGAGAGAGAGAGGTCCTAATCTAATCGGACGAGCCCGCTTCGAGAAATGCCCACTGCGACACCTCGGGTGAGGGGTCGGCCTGGGGCCCCAGGTGGACAGGGCCCGGGCCCCCAGGAGAACGGGCCCGGCCCCCTAGGTGGATGGGACCCGGGCCCCCTGTAGATGGGTCCGGGCCCCCGGGTGGATAGGGCCCGGGCCCCCCGGCGGATGGGGCCCCGGTGGATGGATCCGAGACACCGGGAGAACGGGCCCCGGGTGGACGGGGCCCGGACCCCCGGGTCCCGCGAGAACGGGTCCAGGCCCCTCGGGTGGATGGGGCCCGAGGCTCCGGGAGAGCGGGCCCGGGCCCCCTGGGTGGAGGGGGCCCGGGCCCCCGGCTGGATGGGGCCCGGGCCCCCGGGAGAACGGCCCTGAGCCCCGGGTGGACGGGGCCGGACCCCCGGTTGGATGGGGCCCGGGCCCCGGGAGAACGGGCCCGGGCCCCCTGGGTGGATAGGGCACGGGCCCCTGGGTGGATAGGGCACAGGCCCCCGGGTGGATGGGGCCCGGGCCCCGGGAGAACGGGCCCGGGCCCCTTAGGTGGATGGGGCACGGCCCCCCGGGTAGATGGGGCCAGGGCCCCCCGATGGATGGGTCCGGGCCCCCGGGAGTACGGACCCCAGGCCCCGGGTGGACGGGGCGCGGGCCCCCGGCTGGATGGGGCCCGGGCCCCCTGGTGGGCGGGCCCCGGAGCCCCGGGTGGACGAGGCCCGGAGCCCAGGTGAACGTGGCCCGGGCCCCCGTATGGATAGGGCTTGGTCCCCCATGTGGATAGGGCCCGAGCCCCCGGGTGAATGGGGCCCGCTAGGGTGACCCGCTTGCTTCGCAACGCGAATAAGGGGTATTTTCGATCGGTGGGCGTTTGGTTGGTCTTGTGTCTGTGGGTTATGTATCCATTACGGTCGATTGCCTTTTGACGGCTAAGCATTTTGGTTTTGGGAAAAAATATCCATCGCATCGAGGTGCTCGTGTCTGATAATAACCATGCGTTCTACTATAGAACATGCCAAGTGTATTTCATGACATAGGTTGGCGTAGGTTATTGAAGAGTGAAAGCCATCGATGAATTACTATGTAGAGGTTTGAAACATTTATATTCTTAAGAATATTGTTGCTCGTCATGCAAAAGCGATGATTGGACCTTGGTCACAATTGAATGCTCGTCCAATCTATGCCCATTTCAATTGTCAAACATAGGGGAGAGCGGGGTCAAATGTAACACGGGGCAATTGTAACAGTGTTAATAATTCATAAACTTACCAATAGAATGAGCTGATGTTAAGACCGAAAATGCGTAATTCTATACTGCCTTTCCCAACGGAGTTTGAAGTGAAAGTGTCGGGTATGTCGATGGCTGTGCACAGTAATGTGTTTTTGAGTGCATTTTATAAATTTTCATACCGTTATATTTGATTAGCTCATTCCCGCCATTAAAAAGATATCGACTTCAGACTTTGTGTAAGCGTTGGCAGGCTTGTTGTCCATAAATTGAAAGCATTAAATGCTGTACATGCAACATCTTTATGCGCCAGTTTCGTCTAAAATATGTCAAGGCGCGACGGGGACAATTGTAACATTTTTGCAGGGGTCAAATGTAACAGGTTATAGGTCAGTGGCCATTATGTCAAAGTCGTCAAATTTTCAAGGGAGATGAAACATTGCTAGAATTAGGTGAGCTGTAAGTTTTGTCGCAATCGGCAGCTTTTTACGCGATTTATTTGCAAAAAACCGAGGGAGAGGAGGTCCATCCAACCCCTGTATAAGTGCGAGGTTTTAAGCCTTTTTTCCTGAGAAGAACCGCCTCTACCAAGTCTGGGAAGATGAACAAGTGTTTAATACTTTTGTTAAATCAAAGTTTTGGGAAAAATTGTGTTGCTGTAGCCTGTAAATTAGCATGTTACAAATGTCCCCGGGTGGTGTTACTTTTGACCCCCTATCTGGGGTGAATTGTAACAGATGAATTGACTTTTTCGGACAACAATTTTGACCCAAAAAATAAGTTATTTCGGAAATGTTTTAACAGCATTTTAAAGACAAAACATCATAGTTTCTGAAAATAAAAGAAAGAGTTTTTTAACTGCAAACGTGTTTGCATCAGATGATAAAATGCAAAAAATGTTACAATTAACCCCGTTCTCCCCTACCAGGTTATGTAGCAAAACCCCTGTAATTAAGTAAGTCATAAGCAAATGCTATTTTCTCCAGCAATTTGTTCCACCTTGTTTTTGATCAATTAGCTTTTCACAATTTTCCCATGAGAGGCGGTAGGTACATTTCTCTTGCCAACAAGCGTTGTTTGAACCCGCTCCGTCTGACAGTCACCCAAAAATAGCATTAAGTCCAAAATCCGTCCAAAACGTCAATTTTTCAAGCATAAGTGCCCTCACGGGTGCACGTGGCGCGTGCCATCATTGCACCGCACACCATTCGATAGCCCGTTCGATTCTCATGCACGATACTGTGTTCCTCGTGCCGATCGGACCCACGGTTACCGAGATACTGCACGGGGACCGGACCCGTGTCGGGCAAGTTGAGCCATTGTCGCCCATTTTTGCAAGCCGATTTATGCATGTAAAGTCTATGACGCGAATTTGCACTTTTTGAGCACGCGCCATGTGCTCACCACCGGCCCGATCGAGCTGTGACTCTTCACAGGCACGTTACCCATCCTTGTTCTATAAGTTGCGCGAATTTCAGCGCACTATGGAAGTTACGTCGCGATCAGCCGCTTTTTTACGCGAGTTCTTCGCGAAAAAAAAAAACCTTAGGGGGTTGCATCAACCCCTCCCCCCTGTGCCGGCGAGGGTTAAAACTTCTTACGAGCGAATTCACGTAATGAAGAAGAATAAAAGCACAATCTACTACAGCAGCCAATAGATGACTTAGGACAGGCACATGGGACTACTTTTAAATCTTGTGCGACAGAAGCAGGCAACAGTTCCGATTGCATATAATATGCTATGCATATTGCGGAATTGGGGCTCATATCGGACTCGAAAGATACGAAGTCATACGTCATAGTAACATATTTCTGTCGTGGTCAATTTGCGTAAAAAGTGAAGACCGGGTGATTACCGAGCTACTGTTCTATGCAAATTTTCTGATTCAAACTCGCTCAGGGTTATCGTGCAGGTAAAGGGGGCCCGCCCAGCAGAATGCGTATGAAATATGGAGAGATTCTGAAAAATGGGTGGGGGCCCGCACACTAGGGGGCCCGCTTTGGAAGCGATGACCCCCCCGAAACGAAATCCTGGCTGCGCCACTGCCTTGACACCCACCCTAATGAATGGGAGCAGCATCATATCCCATGTTTGAACGCTTAAAACCACGAAAAGACTGCAAACGCGCGGCTAATGCGAGCCGACATACGCCGAGTCATGAGTTTTTTTTTTCACGAAGCTCTAGCTCGATCAGGGGCGAAACGGCAATACGTTCGCGGCTGGAAAAACACCAATACGGGCGAGGGTTAAGCCTGAAACAGACTCTTAGAGCAGTCAGGAAAGCGCATGCGAGAGCCTATTCAAATATATGAAAGCACGCTCGCATTAATCGCATGCACCTCCTGCATTCGATTGATGCGGGCAAAATTATAATGTATTTGAATAGGTTATAGCATGCTCGATTTCCTGAATGTGAAAAGAGTCTGTTTCAGCTTTTAATATGGGTCACAACCCTGAAGTATGTACCTTCTGTCCAGACCACTTCCCTACCGCTACCACGACCCCTTACCGTGCTATCCTCCGCTGCTGTCCGAGTCTCCAACATTCACAGCCGACCCAGGGACGCACTATAGAGTCCCGACCCGACCCTCAAGTCGCCACTGTAACACTGGAACACACGGTATTGACTTTGACTGGGCGCCGCTTGAAGTTTACAGGCATGTGGCACGATACATGGGCGCACAGTGGGCCCAGTACACTGTGCAGCGGGAAATAGTTCAACGGCTTATCTGCGTATTAAAAATAACAGCGATTTTGGCGATATTGATATATAAATTTGTGCGTCTCTTCTTATTGCTTTTCCATCACAAGTAGCTGCGTGTATGGGCGTTTCGAAAACAATGTCACTATTATAAACAGCTCCCGTTTGTTGACTATATGATAAACATCATTTATATTGAGGTCGACCCAATGGCACAGCATTTTAGCTGGCACGATTAGTCACAAGCCCTTATACCAGTTTTACACAAAACGACACCCCACTGATGCAATATAATGTTCGTGTGGTTCCACTGTGCACCACGGTATCCAACAACAGTCCACAAAGGCTCGCCGTATCGACTACCCGTGACGTCATCATGGCAGTTCAACTGTCTGTCGAACCGAGGACCATGGGTTATTACGTGGTGCCCCTATAGGAGCATTCCACGTCAAGTGGGACAAAAAATGACCATTTTGAACCTCACCTCCTCCGATTTTTGCGAAACTTTCTGAAACTACTCATCTATATGTGAAAAGAATGAGGAACGATTTTCCTTGATAAGCGACAACTATTTGGTATCACCAGGAGCGCGGGAACTACTTTCCGACTGGGGGGGGGGGGGCACACCATAATAGAGATTAACCTAGGGTACCCCCAAATCCAGTTTTCTCACCGGTTTTAGGCCACTTATTTTTCACCCCTCGGCTTTTTCAACAAAAAAAGAAAACATTTGCAAAAAAGTGTGGTATTCCGTATCAAAGCTGTGGGGGCACCGCCCCCACGGCCCCAGAGTTGGGGGGGGGGGGGCAAGCTGCCCCCACTGCCCCCCGGCTCCCGCGCCTATGGGTATCACACTCAGTATCGCAAGAACGGAAAAATCTCGACAATTTTCCTCAACTGGAGAGAATCCTAAGGGCAGGGTCGCAGGGATATTATTCCTTTGTCGTCAGCTGACAACCAAGCCCCGACCGAGATGGCGAACGTCTATGTTGGAAATAAATATTAAACAACGCTTCCTAAAACTGGACATGCCGAACGCGTCCTCTCGGAGTTAATTTTCCGACGAAAAAATATCCGAGGTGCGACACTTTCCGGGTGCCGAACACACGCTTTATGTGTCTGTGTCGATGTACACTGAAACGATCATTTGGCATCGTAGCAAGCAATAGCACGTTTATTCTTCAACCTTACTCTCAAACGGCAGTGGAAACTATACCATACATCAGTTGAGCATTGATGACTAACATAATCATAGGCTTGGGTCACTGACGTCACTCATGTAGTGACGTCATAGTATGTTACCTATGACGTCACAGCCCACCAGGCAGTGCATCATTGCCTCTGGATTAGCATATACCAATGCGACAAAAACGGTTGATATCTGAACTATGACAACAAATCGACTTCTTCCGATCAGATTTCGCATTTCATTCTATCGCAACCATGACATCATCGACAACCGACTCATCTAACTTACATGGCCTTCAGTTATGTATGAACATTTTCACAGTAGATTCCTCACACACAAACACACACCTACATCACAGCCAAAAATCCAAGATGGCGCCATCAGAAATATTCGTCGGTAGTTCCGAACCAACGAGTAACGGGACGAGCTTCGTCCACCGGCCGACAGGTGGCAGCAGCTACGACACCAGTTTTGAGGTTTGTTGCACGAATGGCCCTACTATCACCAGAAGCACCAACCGCTCCACAGATGACGCTAGTAGCGCCAGGTGCAGTATAGGTGGCACTGTTGTCCTTCACTGCCGACGCAGTATAGATGGCACTGCTATCACCCGCGGCACTATAGATGGCGCTTTCTCCCGCCGCTGAACTATAGGTGGCGCTGTTTTCGGTCACCTCCGGCAGTGCACTCAGACACTGTCTAAGTCGTCGATCGGTTTCTTCGGGAAGATGCCGCCGTAGAAGCAGATCAATGGCGTAACGAGCCGCAGATGTGACCGGAGACGCGGCTGTGGGGAGAGAGAGAGAGAGAGAGAGAGAGAGAGAGAGAGAGAGAGAGAGAGACGAGAGAGAGAGAGACGAGAGAGAGAGACGAGAGAGAGACGAGAGAGACGAGAGAGACGAGAGAGAGACGAGAGAGAGACGAGAGAGAGACGAGAGACGAGAGACGAGAGACGAGAGACGAGAGAGAGAGAGAGAGAGAGAGAGAGAGAGAGAGAGAGAGAGAGAGAGAGAGAGAGAGAGAGAGAGAGAGAGAGAGAGAATCGGCGTTAGATAAAATGCAGATATAACAAAACACGATTTTTGCAAGCTAGTTGAATGGAATGTTTTCAACGAAGGAATAGGAATTTCCTACGATTTACGAACAGTGGAAATCACTATCTTTTACAATGAGTTTTGCCTTGTCATTGGCGCTACCGTGCGTGTCGATCTAAACACAACGGTTCTACTGCCTACATTGATAAAAAGCGGACCCACCACATCTATCGATCACAAACACACTGGTGCTGCCACCTATATCAACCACCAGACTTGTGTCCCCACCTATATCAATTCAAAACACACTGGTGCCGCCACCTAGTTACATCAATTACGAGCACACCCGTGCTGCCACCTACCGTCCGTGGCGCCATGCAGCGTCACTCCTTCCAAGATACAGACTGCCTCCTCCATCAGTCTATCGGTTGGTGTCTGATAGAACGCCGCCAGATCCCCTAAAAAAAAAAACGGAGACATCGAGAGACGTCAGATAGCGGTAAGAGTAGATATTTATAGAGATAGCGCTGCATATTTTATTAGATATTTTAGTAGATACCGCTGCGCATATTTTAGTAGATACCGCTGCGATCACGACTAGTAGGTATCATTACCAGGGCTGCGGAGTCGATGGATTTTCGGGTGAATCCGACTCCGACTCCCGACTCCGGCTCCGGCATCGAACGTTTCTCTCCAAATCCTTATCATGATAATAATGTTCAAAGTGGAGATGTTTTTATTTTGCCTGAAACGATCCTATTGCGTTCTCGCTTCTCAGGCCGTACATTGCAAACATGCTTTAAAAATGTCATGCAGAATTAAAAACAGGTTCTGGCGAATCCACCGTCTTCTGTTTCTTTCGCTGAATACGCTCGTCTAAAACAAGAATATGGCCTTATTTGGACAAAATTTGATTTCGAAACGTCAGCGAACGTAGTATCGTCAAGCAGATAGGTGCGGGGCATGACATTCAGCCACGCAGCGTTAGCTCCGATACGGAGTCGAAGTCGGTTTAGTGGCTCCAACTCGGACTCCCACTCCGGGCAAAACTGTCGACTCCGACCGATACAGACTCCGACTCCACCTCCGCAGCCCTGATCATTACTGTTACCGCCAGCACACACATAAAGAGTATACCTACATAATTATACCAAGGAGCGTCTACATTGAGCTTCGCTTAGTATCCATCTGCATTCAGTTTGTATATGTATGCTCGGTAAATAGCGCTAGCAATCGCATCATCTGTATGAGTTTTGCAATGCTACCAGTCACTGAAATTTACTCCGTATCTTTTATATCACTGTCACAAGTACCCACCACCAATACTTCCGTAATAGCACAATAAGCCGCACCACCTCAAACTCCCCAATTACCACCTCACAATCCCCAAACTCCCCCAGCTCACACTCCCTCTAACTCTCCCCCACACTCCCCCTCACCCCTTACTCCCCATACCTGTGAGTCTGACCGCAGCAGCCGCCCCCGTCTCCATGTTCATCGTCCTGTTCCCCGCATCACTTCTCCTCGCCAGCAGCGGCACCACGGCCTTCTCCAGGGGACAGTCGTTGGTCCACTTAGGTCCACGAATAGCCGAGAGGAGCAGCAGGGCGGCGCAGTGTTGTAGAGAGGCGTCTTCGGTGTCGCTTTCTGTGGAGGGAGGTGTGTGGTTAGAGGCGAGGGGGCGGTGGGTAAGAGATGAGAGAGAGAGAGAGAGAGAGAGAGAGAGAGAGAGAGAGAGAGAGAGAGAGAGAGACCTATCGGTGATAGAGTACCAGACTCCCTCATTCACTCTGAATCTCTTTGGGGAGAGAATGAGGGAGCTTGGTACTCTATCATCATCGATATGTCTCTCTCTCTCTCTCTCTCTCTCTCTCTCTCTCTCTCTCTCTCTCTCTCTCTCTCTCTCTCTCTCTCTCTCACTCTCTCTCTCTCTGTCTCTCTGTCTCTCTGTCTCTCTGTCTCTCTCTCTCTCTCTCTCTCTCTCTCTCTCTCTCTCTCTCTCTCTCTCTCTCTCTCTCTCTCTCTCTCTCTCTCTCCCACATTACCTTTTTTCTCTCTACCTCCCCTTCTCTGTCTTTCTCTCCCTGATCCCTCCCACTCCTCTCACACATAACCCCACCTCCCTCCCTCTCTCCCCTCTTTCTTACCTGTCATCTCAATCACCAGCCGATCCGCCAGCATTTCTGCGTCACAGATTCCCAGCTCTCCTGTGTCAACTCTGCCGTAACTAGCTCTGATCAGCGGCTGGAGGGTTCCTATGACCTCTTGTTGGTCTTCAGAAGGGGAGACGAGAGCCACGCAGAGAAGAACACGCTCCAACGGAGAGATCGAGATGTCTGGGGGGAGAGGAGGAGGGTGAGATATTGAAAGGCACCCTCCCATCTTTAAAAAAGTTAATGAATTGGCATAAACATGATGTCTCGATAGATTCACTTTAAAGACATTAACACATGGGTTTGTTGCACGCTCATATATCGAAGCGTTTTTTTTCCAAATACCACATCTGTTCTCCCGTGAATTTCCGACAATTTTGATGAAAACTTTTAAAAAGGAGTAACCGTACAGTTACTCGCTTTTGTTTGTCTTTTTTGGCAGTTTAAGCAATGGCAGCACAAGCTAACGAACACACGTGATTAGGATCGGATGATTGGACACTTTTTAAAAAGGGCGTTTTGTGATTCCCGGAAATTCACGGAAGAACAGTTGTGGGGTTTGGAAAAACGCGTCGATTCCCACACAACATTTTACATAAATGCGTCACATATCAACTTCCATCTACCAAGTGCAATTATAATGCTTTGGTAAGGTTAGGTTGCGTTATGTCATGTTGAGTTGAATAGGGTAACAGTCAATTCTTTTCTTTTCATCTAGGAAAAAAAAAATCCCAAGTAAATACAACTCCACGTGAGTTGTATAATTTGCATCTCCTTACCTTTCCTGCGTCCGAACGCCCGTGGCCAGCTGGACATAACAGCCAGCAGATAGGAGCACAGTTCAGCCGGGTGTCTGAGGGCGACATCTAGGAGCAGCGAGCGACACTCACTAGTAGCGCCCCACAGCCGACAGAGGGCAGCGTGGAGGCGGAGCAGCTGGCGCCGAGCCGGCAGCTGGAACAGGGGAGGGACAGCGAAATAGATCAAACAGACGGTACAATTGCAGTCGAAGGGGTAGCTGGGACAGGAGCGGGACGGAGAAATAATTCAGCAAATCTTAGGGTCTGTTCCAGTCGCACTTCCCAATACCTCTAAACTCCTCCAAGATTGCTTCCTGTTCCAGTGCCAGCTCTAGCCCCATACAAAGCCAAGGAGGGCCCTGCTCCAACCTCCTCTATCTTGCTCTTGGAGGAGTTTAGAGGTGTTAGGAAGTGCGACTGGAACAGACTCCTAGTGAAATCCCAATCCCCACCACCAGGATACCCTCAACAACTAACATCCCTAACACCAAAATGGACTCGCCCACATACCTCCCCCCACCATCAAAATGGACTCGTCCACTCACCTCCCCCACCACCAAAATGGACTCGCCCATCGACCTCTCCCCTACTAACCGGCAGCTCCGGTTGTCTCCTCAGCAGCTGCTCGCGGCAGGCCGTCCTCAACAGCGCCTGCAGTCGTGGCCGGTTCCGTCTCTGAAGCTGTACTGCGCATGCGCAAACACGCGCCACTTCCGGTGCTGGCTCGGCGGTGAGATCAAAGGTGCCTCGCTCGTCCTTCGGTTGGGGCGGTGGAGACTCGGGTATCAGAGCCATTCGGTGGCAGAGGTGACTGTTGGATGGAGAGGAGGGTGGTTATATTAAACCAAGGCGGAGTTGGCTTGACTTGATGGGACGAGACGCAACGCCTAACGACAACAACACAAAAAGACATTTTATTTAGGGAAATTCACTGGTAGGGGCGTACTATCATATTAAAATTTGAGGAGCGATAGGACCTGAGGCCAGTTTTACAACAGAAAAATAGCCGCCTGCCGGAATTTTTTGTCGTAAGACCGCTTCACACACGCGATGGGCATGTACATAAGAGGATAGGGCTATACCGTTCACGCTCCGTATGTGAAGCGGTCTTTAGGCAGAAGACCGCGTCCGGCTTCTTCCGGCAGGTGGCTATTTTTATGTTGGTAAAACTGGTCTCAGGACTAATGATTAGCACCAACGTATAAATAGCACTAAATAAAACAGCTAGAAGCAAGGTGCTTCCCTGCTAACAAAATAAAAAGACCCCCTCTACAAAATCCAACAATAGACTACCGTAAAGTAGGGCTATTTGAGACAGTGGGGCTATTTGAGACAGCATTTAAAACCGCTATAAAATGAAGATCGTTTGATTTTGTGTGATATTTTTGCTCAGGGAGGTGTGGAATCGAGCAGTAAATCGCCTGAGCAAAAAATTAAGCATAATTTTTAAGTGGTTTTTATTTTATAGCAATTTTAAATACTGTCTCAAATAGCCCCACTGTCTCAAATAGCCCCACCTTACGGTACCAGTAAGACGTCCTCTCACCTAACAATGGACTCGTCCGTAGCATTGCTACCGCCCACTCTGACCAGCAGCTGTTTCCAGCCAGCTGTGTTCGGCTGCTCATTCACCAGCTGACCAATCAGAAGCGCCAGATCGGCCTCCGATAGCGGACCAGCAGCTGGCGGTGAACAGGACATGTGCACGTTGGTTAGCGCAGACAATGGAGACGATCACACCTGCGACGAAATACTAAGTTTTTCTCAAATATTTATGACGAAAAATATTACCACTGTTATAACTGGACAGTGCTGCATAGGAACAAACACTAACCACATTTTAATATATTCCAGATAGATATACTCTAATCTAGTGAGATCATTTCACATTGCATGTACGTGAATGAGCATGTCAGGCTACCTAATGGTTCCTTGATATACCTGGTATACTTCATACTTTATCTCAAAGGTACCTGATCGCTTCAAGAGAAAATATTTAGTAAAATGCCAGTACATCGCGCTCACCCTCCCACTTAACTCACCAATCTTTGACAGAATCGCCGAGGCGTCCGTTGAACACGTGGCAGACTCGACGCCCGTCGTTGTAGGCTGCATCACTGACGGCGTATCCGACATCCGTGCCGGCGTCGTTTCCCACGGCACTGCTGGCCGCAGGGATGCAACCGGCAACGGCGTAGGCATCTGAGGCAGCCGAGCGTTAGACTTAGAAGACATCGCTACGGATGGCCACATCGGAGGCAGCGAAGTGTTGGGTGATGGCGACATGCCGGGATGAGGCGACATCTGGGACCACCCAGCGTTTGATGCCGGCGACATGGCAGGGGACGGAGTAGGAGGTTTCTCCAAGAGTTGATAAAAGCTCGGCAGCTGCTGTGTCTCATTCTGCTTCGACGTTTTCCGATGCGTGACTCGAGGTGCGGAAGTTTTGACCCGCGATGATGCGTCGGTAGTTGGCGCAGCCTGGTGAGCCATGCGAGGTCGTTTGGTGGGTGGTCGGTGGTCTTCTACCTCTTCGAGTAGAGCGGGAGTAGGCTGTGCGGGTTTCTGACGCTCGGCACGACCCACTGTGATGTTGCTGAGCTTTGGTGGCACTCCAACCGAGTTTGACGCACCAGGAGCCGCATGTGTCGGGCTTGTCTTCTGCGGTGGATCAGAACACCTTGTGAATTCACTTGACGAAGACATGTCTAACCTTCCGTGCTTCGTAACCATGGAGGAGTCACTCTTCCCTGAAGCCTTCTGCAATTTCTCAAAGGTCGCATCAGTCTTGTGGGATAAGCTCTTCCTCAACGGAGCCCTCCGTCGCTCCCTCGCTTCGGTCAGAAGATCTGAACCAGTCATACTCCTTCCCAAGGGATAAGCTTCAGCTGAACCGTCAGACGAACGCAGCTTTGACTCGCGAGGTCTCGACGCCCAGGCGCCTAGAGCTTCTAGATCCTCAGGCGGTGGACGAGACTGGCGGTATTCATTCTGGACCTCAACACTCGGGGTGATGCGTGGAACAAGACGGGTCGTCGTCTCCGCCGAGCTGATGACCGGGGTTTGAGACGAAGTTTTAGTCGCGAATGCTCCAACACGAGAAGGAAGCGTCGGTGTTGCTGATGACCGGCTGTTAGCTCTGCGGAGTTTGGCCAGAAGCCGCGAGCCGCGACCAACTTCCTTCCTCGGTGGGCCTTCCAGGGACCCAGTCACAGACACAGGGCGGGATGGGCGAACAAAGACGTTTGGCGCCGCAGGACGTTGTGGAAGAGACTCCGACACATCAACGTCTTGATTGATCTGCGGGGTCGCTGTTTCTATGACGTCATCTGAAGGCGGCGACAAGGGACGTTTCTGTTTCTTCCTACCCTTTCGAGCACCACTTGCAGGCTCCACTGTCTCCTTCAATGAGGAGACCGAGTCCGGTAGACTTGTCGTGTCCATCTCAGGTTCATCTTCTTGACTGGCTGCATGTTCCTGTTGTTTGCAGCTCCGCTTAGCTGCTGCATTTTCTTGCGCTGTAGGGTGCATCGTCGGGAGACCAACAGCTCTTTCGGGAGCATAAGCCTCTTTGGTTAGAGCCGAGGTGACAACTCCTTCGCTTGCTCGCTTTTTGCGTTTCCTTGGTTCGCTATCTCCTTCTCGCCCAACTGCTTTCGTCGCAGTCAAGTCACCTGCTCTGGTTTCCCTCCGCACTTTTGTCGGACGACATCTTGTTTCTGTGCCAGTGTCAGGATACGATATTGGACCAGGTTTCACTCTGGTGAACTTCCCAAGTGTTCCTTCGTCGGAGCCTTTCCTCTCCCGTTGAGGAAGACGACCTGGTTTCTGTGCGGGGGCTTGTTTCGGAGATTCTGATCTTCCTTCATCCGTCAGCGAATCTTCTACACCTGCCTTCGCTACCTCCCCACGAACTCTATCACGCGAACCATCATCCACAATTTCTCTCTCAGCATCACCGGTGTGGGCTTCCTCAACACAACGCGCACTTGGCTCGGTCGAGTCCTGGGTCATGTCCATGGAGCCATCTTCGATCATCAGCCTACTGTCATTATCTCCTGAGCTGTCAGAGTCTGACGATACTTCGGCAGCCCACTCGTGATTGTCGTCAACAGCTTCATCAGCTTCTCCACCAACTGTTGGCTGCTGTTCAAGGGTTTCTGCACGCTCATGCTCCATGTCCTCGCTAGCCTGAGCTTGGTCACACACATCGGACCGGGTTGTTTCGCCCTTATATGCATTTACGACCACGTTATCTTTGCTTGAGAGTTGCGCCAAGGCGTTGCTACATCCTTCCTCTCCCGTGGGCAAAGGGTTCTTACTGGTAGCTTGAGACAGATAGGTCTTGCTGACAGACGGTACCAGAGGGTCGCTCTTACCGGCAAATGAAGCTGCTTTGCTAGGCTCCATGCTGAGCCGGCTACCGGGCATTGACACCTGCCTAGCTGTAGGTCTCGCTCGGAGAACTCTGGATGGTCTCAGCAGAGCCTCCACAGGGTGTATGGCCAGTCGGGTCGGAGCGATGGTAACAGATGAAAGGGCAGATGATGTGATAGGGTTAGATGTGTCAGCACGAGGCTCTTCACTAAGAGCAGATGGTCTAACTGCGAGGTTTCTGGCCGGAACTTGCAGATGAGAAGCTTCGCTCGACTCTTTAGAAGGGTGTCTGAGAGAGGGTGGATCACTTGACGCCAATTCCAACTTCTCTGAGGACGCAGACGTTTTCGGTTGGTCTTCGTTAACGGCCTTACCAGCAGGTGACACTTCATGAGAAGAAGCCTGCAGATTTTCACCAAGACTAGACGCCACCTCCACAGCATCACTACACTTCCTGCTCCTCAACTGTCTCATGGGCGACGCCGTTTCCACCAAGTTCGAACGCTCCGAGTTCTTCTGCCCTAGTGGCGACTGTGGGTGCAGCGGCGATACCTTCGTTCCCACTTCCTTGGCATTCTCATCTCCGGAATCGGTTTCGACTGCCCTTCTTTCTCGTCGGAGACCAGGCCTTCCCGCTCGGGGAGATCGAAGCCCGGTTGAGCCGTCCTCTATACCGTCCTGACGAGTAGGCATCCGGCGTCGGACTACTTCCGGGACACTCGGTTCTACTGCCGTCTCTGATGAGGTCTCACTGGTTCTGGATCTGCGGCGTCGGCTCGTAGGGGAGACCTCCGATTCGCTTGCGGTCTCGGTGGCTCTACTTTTGAGTCGACACATTTCTAGAGCCGGTTCTGCCTCATCCACTGACCTACTTGTTCTCGTTCGTCGGAGTTCCGTCGTGGAAGACTCGGTCTCTGCCTTGTCTGGGGTTTCGATGAGTGGTGTTCCACGACGCCTTGTTGCGGGGACGTTTCCTGGAGCTGGCTGCTCTGCGGTCTCTGTGGCCTTCGTTCGTCGACGCTCGGCCGTCAGAGAGTGCTTCCGTTCAGATTCGTGGTCACCACCTGCAGTTTTACCAACACTGGCGCTTCTGAGGTTGTGTCGCAGCTGTCTTGGCGATTGTGACGGTGTTGTGCTGTTTCTCTGTCGTCGAAGACTTCTTGTCCGTGTTGGTGACGATGAGGCTGCATCGTCCTCTGTTGAGCCGATCTCGATTCCTTCCACTGCCATCGCTCTCCGACCGGCCCTGTCACTTGCGTTCCTCGAAGAACAGGGGCGCATTTGAGATGCTGTCTTCTCAGAGAGCATCGAAACTTCTGAGCTCTGGTCAGCGTGATTACGTGAAGATGCACTTCCAGCGGTAGATTCAGCCACTGAAGCATCATTCACTCTACCCTCGCACTGGGTAAGCGCCGCCGCCGACCGGCTTCTGCTATCCCGAGTAAGCGTTCTACTTTGTGCTACCATTCGAGCAAGTTTTAGCTCGTGACTCTGCGCCCAACGCCTCAGTTTCGCCGAAACGAGATGACTATCCACTGATGATAGATAAAACCCATCGAAAGGAGCGTCATCCACCCAATCAGCGACGGAGCGATATTGACGGGTACCTCTGGAGTCATCCACATTCACAAGCGCTATGCCAGCCAGCCGTGGAGAAGCACGTATGTTCACATCTTCGGACTGCCTGAGCAAGCTCCTGGAAGAGTCCTTCCGCCTCTTCCTCAACGATCTTGCTGGAAGGACAGAACCGTCATCTGTATCGTCAGGTTCTACCACCTTTTGTACCAGGCTTGACCGTGTTTTCCTGCGGGAGCTTCGCGTGGCAGGTGGTTGATGTTTCGCCGACTCATCATCAGGACTTCTTCGACTGTTTCTGGTGTTTCTTCGCGAAGCTGCTTGCTCTTCTTCCTCAGACGAGTCACTGCTCAGTGGGCGAATGATTCTCCGACGCTTGACTCGTCGCCGGCCGGGCGCATAGTCTGACTCTGACTCTGCGTCTGACTTGTGCGACTCTGCGGCGACTTCTTGATAGCCCGTATCTCTAACCACGGTGGAGTCTGAGTCATCAACGTCTGCGTTCTCCGGCTGCATCGTCTGTGTACTTGGCGTTTCGTTTTCAGTGGTCTGACTGGTCTTGCGAGCCTCACTGTCAGGATCGGTCACATTGCGACTGGTGGGTTCAGTCTGATCTTCAATAAGTGATGCCGAAGTCGCGTCATCAGCACTCTCCACCAAAGGAAGATCTGGTGGCCCCGTATTGGTGGCGTCCGCCATCTGTTCTTTGTCCAGGTTTCGGGCACCACAGGGAATCAAGGTGGGTGGTGGGAGAGCGTCAGCTCCAGGTATCGGATGCAGACTCTGCTCTCTTGATCCTGGTAATGTCTGGTTAGTCAAAGTGCCATCCTCTTTGTTCGAGCTACAGGGAGCCGAGCGTGGCATTGCGTCTTTTTGAATCGTGCTGGTCTCTTGAGCCGTAATGCGCGCTGTCAGGAGACCAGCATCACCTTGAGACTTATCAAGCTCTTCTGTTGGAACCGAGGTCACACCTGCCTCGATTGCTCGATGTTCGTCATCTTGTACCGCCAAGCGATTTTGTCTCGGAAGTCCGGCCAACGTGCGACTAACGGCTCGTGGATCTTTCTCAGTCACTCCTTTCTCGGAACACGCGCTAGGTGGTTCTTCTCGTCCCACAGACGACGCAGGTGCTGCTTCTGACGCACCATTTCTTACTTCATCCAGCGAGCTTCGTCCAGATGAACCCACACTTTCCCCTCGGCCATCCTGAATCATCCCCAAACAAACTTCAGGCATCTCTTGTTGTTCCTTTTTGGGAAACACAAGTCCGACGCCTTGCCCAGACGCCCTCCAGTTTCCCTCAGCAGCCATGAGATGCCTCCGCCACCAGCTTCTCGGCATCAAACGATCTCGAGGCTCTCGATCTGCGAAGTTGACCGCCGATATCCCAGCTAGCAGCGGAAGACAGCCAGGAAGCTTCGCTGCACGTCTTAGCGAGCCTCTACGCGTGAGACGGACCAGTCGACGACGGTTCGGTGTCTCCGATGGACCTTGAAGCCGACGAAGACGACGTGACCAATCAAAGCGGCAGCCTGAGGCTGAGAAGGGCATGCGTCGGCCTGATGACACTGAAGAAGCTGACGCAGAGGAAGAGGTGATGTTGGAGAGGGCCGCAGAAGCTCTGGTGGGACATGTTGAGGTTGATGCAGTTGTGGAGGCAGGAGTTGGGATGCTCTTGGAGACGGGTACGGAGGTGACGACAGGGCAAACCGACACTGCAGATTCTGAGGGACGCGCACAAGGGCTTGAGGTAGGGGCAGTGACCGCAGAGGTAGAGGCATTCGTGGTTCCTGCAGCGGCAGCAAGGCTTGAGACAGAGACATTCCCAAAATTGCAAACAGCGGAGCTTTCAGAGGTAGGGCCATCTTCAGGTGCATGTGGAGACGGCGTGGTGGAAACAGAAGAGACCGGAGACTTCATACCACTTGAAGCCGACCTCGATGTCTTCCCTGCCATTCTCGGCAGCATCGGGTCGCTTTTGGCAGTGTTCGCCTTGCCAGCAGACGCCGCGATGCAGGCCGTGGTGGCCGCAGTGCTGACTGCGGTAGTAGCAGTTATTGCCGAACAAGTAGAAGGTGCCGAAGAACATGTCAAGATTGAAGGCAATGTAGTGTTCATCTGCGACGAGGTTGATATTGGTTCTGCTACCTGTTCTTCCACCTCAACAATCGCTTGAGACTGGTCCATAACCTCTTCGGCAACATCCTGTCGTTCTTCACGCACTTCCTCCTCTTGCCAAACCACTGGGCCTTCCTTCACCGGATCTTCTGTCGCACCTTCCGAAGGTGTGGTCGTCGTCTCGGTCGACTTCGTCACAACAGTTGTCACTCCTGACGTCTTGTTCTCCTCCTCCGCCGTCCTCACGCCACCATCCTGAGCTGCAGTCACGGAAGAGCCCGAGGAAGCCGAGGCAGTTGCCTGTCTTGACACAGCCACAAGCGACACCGGAGAATTTGCGATGATCATCATAGGAGACCCTGACGAAGGTGGTATGATCAGCGGCGCCTGAACTCCGGACAAGCTGGACGCAGTGGTGTTCGAAACCGCCGACAGGTCGCACGCTGTCGTCGTGTGACTGGAGACATTTGCAGTAGCTACATCCGTGGGCGGCGTAGACGTACTGAGCACCATGTCCGCAACAGAGGTCACCACCGCGGAAGGTCCACTTTCAACACAATGAGACGCACGAACGGCGGAGACCAACGATCCCAAGTTCGCAGCCGCCGAAGCGACAGCTGCCCGCGCACTTGCTGCCGATGTTGAATCTGCAGAAGCTGGTGATGATGAGGATGCCGAAGTGAACGTCAGCTCAACATCTAGCACGATTTCATCAGGAACAGTTGGCGAGGCGGGACGTGGGTCATCCGATCGCCGGCGACCGGCACGCATGCGAGGTTTGGTCTTTTTCCTGACACCACAGGCGGTAACAGGAGCTGCTTTGGATGTGGCAGGCTCAGTAGCTTTCTTTGCTTTCTTTTTAATAGGTCTCGCATCCTTTTCAGGGCACACTGGAAATTCTTTGTCAGCTGGTTTGTCAGCCGGTGGTTTTATCTGAGACTGCTCCACGATCTGTTTAGCGTCCTGCGACAATGAATCATTTTTAGAGACAGAAGGTTCGTGACTTCCTTGTTCTGCCTGTGTCTCACAAACGTTAAGAGTAGCTGTTTCTTTCGTCGCACCATCCGAAGGAACAGACGGTAGCCCAGCGGAAAGATCAGGCACCGACTCTGCGACCACGCTTGAAGTTGGCACCTCAGAACGCACGCCCTGGGGTTGCGTTTCAGTCGCTTTGGACATGTTCGCTTCGTTATTTTCCTTGTCGACCATATCGTTGTTCACAGATTCTGTGGCCGCTACAGATGTTTCAGATCTCGAGGTGGGTATGTTAGAAGTCAGACTTTCCCCTGGAATGCTTCCCACGTCAAGACCGTCTTCTGTAGCAGAAGCCGCTTCACGAAGTTCTTTCGATGGTTCATCGGGCCTCATGGATGGTTCCGTCTGCTCTGTGGTTTCATGTTCATCCATCACATCAGCATCTTTAGCCTCCACCTCATCCCCAACACGAGATGGTTCATCATCCTCACCCGCTGACTTCCCGCTTTCTGTGACAGGTTCTGCATCCACCAAAGCTCCTGCTGACCTTCGCTCCCCCAACGATCTATCCTCACCATCAGCAACTGTCTCCGCTTCAACTCCTGCTCTTTCCTCGATGTCCACCGTCCCCCGTCCCGAACTGTGCTCCTCCACAGCGAGGGTGGCTGTCGAAGGTGCTGTAGTGGCAAGAGGACTCAAAACAGCCACAGGGGGTGGTCGATCTCCAACTGCGGGAATCTCGGACACCTCAAAACCAGCCGAGTCTAAGTGCAGGAGCGGTCGACGAGACACGAGCGGTAGCATATTGGGATCCTCTTCAGCAGCGTCTGCACGGTTATGAGCTTCGCCCAGTTCCGCGATATCGTCTGGCACAGGTTGAGTATCAGCCTCTTCGATCGGTGTGTTGTTGCCTTCGTCATTTCCTTTCAAGCCGCCGATTTCTGAGGCCCTCCTCGCAGACTTGGCGTCTTCGATGTTCGGCGAAGCCGTCTTCTTCGCTTTTTGGACCCTTTCAGGCGATTCTTTTCTCTTCTTTGTCGATACTTCATCCGTGTTCTGATCGTCGTCTTCCGTCACATCTTCATCCAGTCGATGCAGAGGACTTAGCGGCATCATCGCTATATCTCGCCCATCCCCTTCGGTCAAGGGTTCCAGGTCATCCTTCAGCTGCGTCATGTTTCGCAGCATGTCAAGCACGTTCAACTCCCCAGCTGGCATTGACAGACGTCGCTCCCACTCCGGCGCTTGACGCTTCTTTCGTTCCTTCTTCCGACGTTTGTGACCATGGTGGCGACTGGGTGGACCTTCAGCCGACACAGGCTGAGGAACTGAAAAGGCAGAGTCTGACTCGGCGACTGACTCCACACGACTTTCACCAAGGGCTCGGGTGGTCTCAGGAGACACATCCTTCTGAGCTCGAGGCGTCCTTGAAGGTACCTGGGATCCTTCCGTAGCAGAGTGATCACCTTCGTTCCTTTCCGTCGCGAGTGTTGAGCCTGAGTTGATTATCGATGGCATGTCGCATTTCTCTGGAGTGGGAGTCAAACTGGGCATCACAGGCATGTCGAGCTTTCCTGGGGTGTCACAGTTAGAGCCGCTGTCGTCAGTCCTCTCTGAGCTGGTCTCTGAAGAGCGGATCAGTGATTCGCCATCTGGTGTTTCATCTGGTGAGGTGAGTGTAGACGCCGCAATTCTGCTTTTTCGTCGAGGTGCTGTGGAATCAGTAGCCGCTTCCAGACGCTCCGACACATCCGTCGTTCCTCCTGATCCACCAAGCTTGCCTTTCACCTGGCTGTCAGACGACGAGGACATTCCCTTCAATTGCTTGCCATCCTTGCTCGTTTTCGGGATGGCAAACGATGTCTTTTCAGTCTTCTCACGTCTCTTGCCTTCTTCATCTCCCTCTTCTGGATCCAATCGCTGAGGGGAGCTTCTGGTGAACTCCCGTGATTCTTCGGAAGAACCGAAGAGCGGCATTGAGACTCCGGGACCTCCGCAATCGTTGTCATCAATCAGTTGAGAGTCAGCCGCGCTCCAACCTGCCGGAGCTACCGTAACGCTATCGTCAGCATCCGGATAAGATGAGCGCTTCGCTGAATCTTCCGCCGGGTTCTTTGTGTTTTTGTTTGCTTTCGGTGATGGAACTGAGTCAAAATCTTCATCGTCGCTTTCGTCAGACTCTTCAGAAGAACTGTCGGAGGAATCCTCGGATGTTTTCTTTGATGCAGTGGATATACTACTGTCCGGCCGACACGTGGTCTGTGACTTCTGCGGCGAGGTGTCAGAGGTTGCTTTCTCAGGTGAGTCATCTGCTTTTTCTGTCCGTATTCTTACGGTGGGTTTGTGAGCAATACGACTGCCACGTCGCGACGCATCTTCACGAGCATCAGCATCATCAAGAGACGGCGGTAGGGTCTCATCCGGATCATCAACAGTATCATCGTCAGAAATAGACAGATCAGCACAGAGAGTCGCCGAAACACCGCTCGGCTCATGAAAGGATGGTGCGTGATCTGCTGAGCCACTAGTAGAGCCAGCAACGTCACCGGGTTCGTCGTCGTCGTCACCGGGATCACCATCGCCCTCTCCTTCCGCTGTCAACAACGGCATCGGCAGGTTTGGCACATCGATATCATCGACCGTTTCAACATCCACATCGGTATTCGTGGCATCATCTGCATCAATAACATGGGCACCTATGTTAGTTACTTCACCATCAACAGCGGTCGCCTTGGTTGCACTCGAAGCGCCTGAGGTGCTGCTGGATGTTAGAAGGCTGACGTCCAGAAGACCTCCCCCCTCGGGGTCGACTGTGACTAGAACCGGCATACCTTCCAGAGCCTCCAGTTCGACAT